TTGGTGAGGTGTCGTGAGCGCGCTACCTTGAGAGACGACAAGCTTCCCGGAAGCAATCTGGAAGGAGAAAGGGCGGTGCCTCTGAAGGGCCYTGGTCGAAGCACTTGGGTCACGGTCACCATGCCAACCCACAGGGAGTAGTGCACGCATGCGATGGCTGCTGTCCTGTTTTGGCACTTGCTGCGCTCAGATAGAAGTCTTGCCAAGTGTGCCAGCCTTGTATGAGATGCTTACCAGACCGTCTATAAACATTTCTGGTTGGGTACTCAGAATGATTTTGGCTGTGATCGTCGTCCTGACTGCGACGTTAAAGAATTCCTGAAGAGATGGGGGCGCTCTTAATAATCCTCCTGATCAGCCATATCATCCGGGTGGAAGGCTCGTTTCCGTACGAGGGTAAATAAGAGTGGGCTGGCTGGCTAACTTGGCTCTGACTTGGGAACAGGGGTGGGCCGAAATACACACGAACACACTGCTCTGCTCAAAGATGCTGTTCGGTATGTTGGATGGAGGGGAGGGTAGGTTCCAATTGGTGCTCAACTGAATACACAACTATACCCACTCATCATACATCTGTTGCATTGTCTTTTTATATCTTTGATTAGTTGGTTGACGGACTGCTGACCAGATTAGTGTAGGATTGTTGTATGCTACCATAGCCAGTTCTAACTATCGCTGCTGTAAGAGAACTTATCAGGATACAACTAGACAATGTAGACAATCTGATGTGAATGTTGTAGACATGTCACTTGATTCGGTATAGTAGGGAACTCGTCGGACACAACTATTTCTAGAAAATTACGTGCCGGTCAGATACATGCTGCGGTAGGATTCCATTAGGGGATTCTAGTGTAGACACTATGTGTCTAACTAATGAGTGGGTCAGACCCTGTTGATGATAGAGCTGACGAAAGGAGACTAACACGTGCACGGGCACTAAGGGTACCGCACGTGTTCCAGGCCTTACAACCGGGAGACGAAGCACGACTTCGGGTCGAACGTAGAGCCCGTGCCCTAGCAGCGGGGATAGCAGCAGCAAACGCAGCAGCTAGAGAGCAGGCAACAGCAGCCAGAGCAGCAGCGATGGCTAACGGCGCAAGCTCTGCTGCGTCATCATCTGCGTCCTCGTCAGGCACTAATGGGGGCCAGTTGGGAATGCCAACAAGCTCCACAAGTTCCTCGGCCACTTCTGGTTCCACATGTTCTAGACAGTCTTCTAGTCAAATGGCGGGCTCGCAGTTCAGCCCGTTGACCCCGCGTCATAGGGAGCTCAGAGAGATCCAGCAGGTCGAGATGCTCCGCCGTAAGTTAGAGCAGGACCTGAAAGAAGCTACCGATAGAGAAAATGC